AACAATGAGTTCTTTTTGTTTTACAACAGACCTCTGGTCTCAAATGCACCAACCTTATATTGCTGTAACCATTCATTGGATCAGTCCTGAATTTAATTTATACTAAGCATTACTTACAATTCAAAAATTTGATTACCTTCACACTGGAGATCGAATTGAAGATTTTTGTCGTCAACTTTTTGACAAATGGGAATATATGAGAAACTTTTAGGTGCTTCAACGGATAATGCCTCTTCAATGATTAAAGCTATGGATCAACTTGGCATTGAGCATATAGGTAGGTAAAATCACCTTACAAGAATTATCACTGTTTTTAAATTAATGCGATTATTGAATTTTGTGAATCTCATGAATCTCGCATATTACCATTGCTTTAGCAATAGCGATATGCAGGATTCGTGAGATTCACAAAATTCAATGATCGTACTAATTCAAAAACAGTGATAATTCTTGATTCTATTTATATAAATTCCAGTAAAACAGAGTTTAACCTTTGTACAAAATTTAATTCTTATCTAGGTTGCACTGCACATACAATACAACTTGTGTTAGAAGATGGATTTGATGTTACGAAAGTTAGTAACTTAATAAGTAAAGCAAAAACATTAAACAGTTATATTAGTGATAAAGATAAATACCGTGAAAGCCATTATGAATTACAAGCTGAATTAAATCCGCAGCCCCAAGTTAATCCTCTTTCAAATGATACAAGAACTCGTTGGAGTTCAACTTATAACCTTTTAAAAATCTTTTTCTTCTTCGTAATGCCATTGTAAGATTGGCTAATAACTTAAAACAAAATGTTAATAGACAAGAATGACAAGATGGAACAAAACTTTCAGACCTTCTCCTATCAGCAGAAGAATAAAATTCAATAGATGAATTAGCAAAACTTTTACATCCTTTCACGCAGGCAACTGGATATATTGGAGGAAGCCAATATCCCACTTTAGGAATGATGATTTCTACTCTCATTAAGCTCTTACGTTATTTAAGAGAATTTTATCCTGCAATTACTTCACAAACAGTAAAAGCCTGTTGCAATAAAATCAATCAATCGATGCTGTCAAGGTGGTCTGAACTATCGTCTCATAGTCTAATAGCCAACTTTTTGGATCTGAGATTCAAACAAATGAATTATGTAACGGCTAGCAAAAAAAGAAAAACCATTGCTCACCTTTATTCTTCATTTGATACACAGGGATGATCTACTTTTATTCAAAAACCTCAACCTTTAAATACTAATTCCTCTTTTTTTTTTTTTCTTTTTATGATGATTTTGTTATTTAAAACGAACCTGAAAACATATCATTAATTGAAAAAGAAGTAACACTTTATAATAGTTTACCTCAAATTCCTAAATATCATATAACTGACGAAGAATATCGTAAAGTTAATTCATTAATTTGGTGGAATGAACGTAAAGCAATGTTTTCTCTTCTTTCTCAACAAGCAAAAAAATACTTAGCCTTCCTAGCTACATCGGTTCCTTCAGAAAGGGTTTTTTCAACTGCTAGTAATACAATTACTAATAAGAGAAATTAATTAGATCCTGATACAGTTCATGATTTATTGTTTCTTAAAGAAAATTCAAAGATCTTTATTATGTACCCAGGTTTAGGTAGTAAATTTTGTTAGTTTCATGGCATAATACAAGTATTTCTACTAAAAAAAATTTTATATAATTAGTTTAATGAGAAAATAGAAGGCATTGATTTTTTTAGATGCGATAATAATATAAATATACATACAGTCAACTCTTTCTAAACTGGCACTTGTTAATCTCTAAATGGAACAAAAAATTTTAGAATATTTGTAATTTTTATTAGTAAGCTTGGATTTGAAATATAATAACTCTAAGAACTGAATGTTTAAAATCTTACATATAAAAATTCTATCTAGTCAGAATAAAAAGAGTTAACTACTATAAAATATAAGAACTTTAAATATATTAAAATAGATTAAATACTGTATACTTTTATGCATTGGGAATATAAAAACTCAACCTTTGATAGCAAGCACAGTCGTTTTAGATTAGTTCTTTATAGTTTCTTGAATTGTAGCAGAAATTTCAAAGATCTTCAAATCTTGAAGCTATAAAATAAAATAACAGTAAAACCGTACTCTAATTACCCACATAAATACTTGGTTAAAACAGAGTTTAGGTTAGCATTAATGTTTTGTTGGGTTTATTAATATCATAATGGATGATACGATTATTCTGTAGATAATTTGAAAAAGTATTCGGGGAAGGGAGACGAGACAAGTGTAATAGTTGATCAGGATAACGAAGGAAGTTCGATATTCTAAAAAATTTAATAAGAATGCATATTTATACAATGTATATATTATATATGTATGAGTGCTGCAGAGCAAAAACCTATAACTGATTATAGTAAATCATTATGATCAGTTATAGGTTTTCGTTCTGCAGCACATATAATATCGCGCAAGTTGCCAGCTGATCATATTGTTTCAGCTGAGCCAGCTAAGCCAGCTTAGCCGTGGCTATCTCAGCTGCATTAGCCAGCCGAAAGTTTTATTTCGGCTGGCTTAGCCAGCTAAGCCAGCTTAGCCATGGCTGCCTTAGCTGGCTTAAAACACTATGATTTACATAGTAATCTGTATTATGTTACACTATAATCATGCACCAGGTGACTGGCGAATCACCAATTACAGAAAACATTTTGTTTTTCGATTACTTATATCACAAACAACTTTATCAAATCGCCAATATATTAATTTCTTTAAAATTATATTTAATACTCAAAATTTTATTACACTTCCAACATAGAAACCTAGCACAAAATTAAATAAAAAAGAACAACTGCAAAGTGATATAATAGCATAGATTAAAAAAGAAAATGGTGGTTGGATAGGACTGAATATGGCTGAGACAGTTGGCAAACTATTTATTCAAGATTTAACTTATGTAATATGGTATATAGATGGATGTAATAGTGATACATTTACACAATGTTACAACTTATCAAAAGTCTTTGAAGATTTTATAGATTACATCAATCTACAATATTACAAATACGCCTGACCTAAATTTAATATTGAAGAGCTTAATAAACATAGTGAATGTCTTCTCAAATATGCTATATGCTGGTGGATGACAAGATCACCATTTTTAATATTTTTCAAAAAACTAATAAAGCTCGTTAAAAATCTTTCTAAATATACAGATTATCTTGTCTTCAAATGTACAGTAATGTCACAAAACCAAGAACTTGATCAATCTGTAATTAATGAATATAATAATAGCCAACTAAAAATATCCAAAGCCAATGAAAAATGTAAATTAGAGAATACTTTAAAATAAGAAATCTTTCATCAGCTTTACAAGAAAAACAATACTGTCAGCCAATTTTGGTTGATGATTTCTGCTCTTCAATATTGCAAGTGTAAGTACAGTCTAATCTTCCTATAATCACACCCCTCAGGATAAAGATGTGTGTAATTATAAAGATAATTTTACTAAGATGTGCTTATAAAGAGGTTTTTTTCAATATAATTATAATAGTTAGTTTTAAAATAAATATACTTATATAGAGAATTTTTATATGATGTGCTTATATAGAGGGTGACTATAGGGAGGTTTAACTATATTTATTAAAAAAATAAAATAAAATAAAAAAAAAGCAAAATAAATAATAAAAAATAAACTTTATACTATATTAATATATAGACAAAAGCATTAGTATTTAGCAAGCTTAGAAGTTGGATACACATTTAAAGTTAAAATCTATACTTATCATTACAGAAATATTTGTAATACAACATATAATTGGTATATAGATGAGAAAGTAAAGGAAGAAGAAGTGTTTAATCAACATTATAAAATTAGAACAGAAATAAAAAAAGTTTTTCTACTTATCATATATGTAGTATGTATAAAGAATATATGAATATATGCGATTTTCATCTAAACAAACAACTGAAGTCCAAATTGTAATGTATATATAAAGAATTAACAAATAATGCTTTAGCTGCTAAAATGACTAGTCAAAAAAAAGTTAATGAGCGTGTCAAATTGGCCTTTAAACTAAATGATTCTAAAATTATTAGTGATTTGAGAGAACTTAACGAAGGTTGGCCACATAAATATGTTAAATTTTGGGCTGTAAGCAAAAATTTTTTAGAAGGTACTGCGCAAAAAGCAGTGGTTGCTATGGATAAAAGAAGATACAACCCAATAGTGCATCTTATACAAGCTATTTTAGTTTGTAATCTTTGTGATATTATAACAAAGGAAGTAAAAAAAATTAAGCTGCAAGCATCAATTCAATCAACCCAATGGCTTCACCTACAATTTTGGCCAACTACACCAACAATTAAAAATAGTTTACATTATACCAGCATTTTGTCTGTTAAATTTATAATCCAGACTCGTCAGCTTTGACATAAGCACATTGATTTACATTATGCATTAGTGTTATTTCAATATTTAAAAGAAATGGCAATCATGTTTAGGGATGAGGCTCACCTTGTTTTTATGGATGATAAATACCACTGTAAAGTTGGTGAACTGGTTATCCAGTTGCAGCTGTAGACTGGGAAAAGAGAATACTTGTTAATTATGATATAATCTTTGTTGTTAATGACTATGATTTTACAAATATAGAATTATTCCAAGCATTACAATGTTATGCAACATATCTAAAACAATTGAAAAATCTTTTTATACTGGGAAAGTTTACATTAGACTAAAAGAATGTATATTCGAGCTATCAAGTTCAATGTGATACATCACAGAATTGTATAATATTTTGAAAAACCAAGATGATAACAAGCTTTATTTGTTTATTTACACTGATGGTGAGCCAAACCATCAAGTAAATTTTTTTTAGGTACAATTTGTATTAATTGCAATTTTTTTAACTTTGAATCTTGATTTGTTAGTTGCTGTTCGAACGCCTTCAGGACACTTATGAAAGAACTCAGTCAAACGTATTATATCTATTTTAAACCTTGGTTTGCAGTATGTTGGCCTTATGAGAAGCAAAATGAATGAAGAGCTTGAAAGTTTGGCAAAAAGTTACAATATGATAAATGAAATTCATAATAAAGCTAAAACAGTACCTTGACTTAAGAAAGAAATAATTGAAAGCTTACAACCTACTAAGACCATTATGCAAGATATTTTTAAACAATTAGAGCTCAAGGGAGAAAATTTTTTTACATTTAAATTAGCAACAGATCAAGAGATTGAATGCTTGTGGGAGTTAGTACTTGAATTGGATGATTCATTGGTACCTGAAGACATGTCTTGAAAGCACATTGAAAATAAAGTCAGTTTTGATTTGTAAAAAAAAATTTAATATTATTATAAACTCATTTATAAGTATATATATTTAGTTCTGCATTCTTAAATTTATGAACCATTGTTGCCATTCAAGAACTTATTTTTTTTATTTTTTGAAATTAAAAAATGTCAAGCAACTAAAACTGGTTGTACGATTTGCAAACCACCATAGAGTAAACTGATGTATTTGTAAAATTGCAACACTTTCCAAATCCTATTCCTAAAGTGAATAAAGATTACTATATATCATTTTGTAAAATATATAGTAAGAATACTAGCAAAAAATACTACCCATCTTTACTTCAAAAAGGCAATGCACCTACATCAATTACGATTAATGGTCTCAGCACCAATAGAATAGATTTAAGCCTTTGGACACAATACGCAGCAAATGTGTGTGTTTTGATAAAGTGTATTGAATGCAACAGACCACAAGTACTCTATTCACAACATCATTTAAAGCCAGAAGAAGAAAATCTTTTCAAAAACTTTATAGAAACAATTGATTACACATATAATACAACATTCTATGAAATTTCAGATCTCACAAAAGTTAGTTCACCATTAGTTTTAAATAATAATAATCAGACAATAGATATTGGTGATAATAACAATAATCAAACAATAGATATTGATGATAATAACAATAATCTAACAATAGATATTGTTATCAATGATAAAAGTAATAATGATACTGATAGTATAAGAGATAATATTGATGAATCACCTATAAAACAAGATAAGATGTCTTTAGAAATATTGTTTAAGCACGTCTTTGTAAATACCAAGCTTATCTGTTTAGCACCTATAGAAGTACTATACATTTCTTCACGTCTTTATCCTGACATTTGTTTTTAGTGTAACAATACAGAAATCCTTTTATCAACTCCTGCTAGTCAACATCCATACTGTTTTAAATGCAATATTTTAGTTAAAGCTAAAAAGAGAAAAGGAAAAGGTACTAAACTTAAGAAAAGAGCAAAATAATTAGTGAATTAGATGTCAGTATAACAGAGAAGGCTTAGAAATATATAATAAATAAAATAAATAACATAAATAATAGTAATAAAATTGCAAATTGATTGGAAGTTATCCAATTTTAATTAAAAAGAATGAAATAAAAATCTTACAGAAAGTCTGAAAAACATAAAGTTTTTATAAATACAGTTGATCTATACTTTAATTCAATTATCCAAAATTAAAATAAAAAAAATTATCTTACATCCTTTAGCTTTATGCCTTATGCTATAGGAAAATAAGTTGATCTGAAGTATCTTATAATTATGATTAAGTAGTAACAATATTATACACAGCCTAAAACCAATACCACTATAATTACGAAGAAAATATCACTCCTACTATATAAAGCCAAATTCAAATTTGAAAAAAAAGTTCTCTGTATCTAACATGCATATTAGATTTTTATTTCTGCACTTTAGACAAGAGTATAGTTCAATATAATTAGAACAATCAGATTCACAAAAGAAATAAAGCTTTATTACTACATTATATATTCCCTTAATCTTGCTTGTATATTTATTGAATATTATCTTACCCAGGATTGCTAACAAAAATTTACGCTTATATAATATGCAATAAAATTCTTTAAAGGTTATTTATATAGGATTAGAGTTTATTAATATAATAAAATTACTTGAGAAAATTTTTTTTTAAAGCACAGAAGGTAGTTTCTTATATTAATTTTTGAAAAACAAGCAATTTTCTTTAATTCTTTCAAAAACGAACATTTTTGAATTTTCTTGATCATGTTATATTATATGAAATTGTGATTACCTATTAGATAATTTTTGCAGATCTTCATATGAGCATAATCATATGATTTATAGTATTCATTTTACAATTATTTAAAATTATATACTATATTTTACTATAAAAAAAAATCTTGGCTTTTAGAAAAAATATATCTAGCCAGGTAACAAGAATCAATTTTATTTGTTTGCAGCCTAATTTTAATGTTTTTACTACTATTAGATATGTTTTAATAAGCTCTACAACTTTTGTTAGAAACCTAATATAAGAAACTGTATCTAAAAATAAAACTATATTATCAATTGATTAATATTGTAATTTATATACTTTAAAGTACTTTTTCACAAAGCATATCTTTTCTATAAAATACAGATAAGTCTACTAGTAATTTTAAAGGTTTTATATTGTATTTTAATAATATTAATTGAATTTACTTAAATTTACCAACTTTTATATTACAGTTTACTAAATGAAGTTGTATATAAAAATAAATAAAAGGTGTAGCGATTTAGTAAAGTGAACAAGTTGTTGTCTTCCAAGTGACACATCTAGAGTTCAATTCTTACTAACAATAAAAAATTAAGTTCTTCTATATAATGATAACTATTCAGATGTTAGAATGTAAATTCTGTAACAACAGTTAAACCAAATAGATGCAAGAGGTAATGATTAGCTAACAGACAGCTATCTTGTAAGCTCTATCAGGAGCAGTAGTACAAACTTAGAAAATTATAAGACATTTGTGTAATAAAAAAGTTATACAAAGAGATACAAACAGATAAAAGGTGGTATAAATTCACGATAAATCTTGTGACCTGTATAAATTTATAAAACAAGTCCTGAATAGAAACCCACTTGGCAAGTTTTGAGTAAAGAAGTAATATATACTTTCGATGATTCTAAAAAGTTTAAAAAAAGAACTAAAATACTGCAGATCTGAATGAGGACTAGGTGTTTGGTAAACACTATACCAACAAGGTTGCTGGAATCAACTAGAGGAAAAGAACATAGGCTGGTATCCAGTAGGAAAGTGTATAATATAACTTGTAGACCAAACTAGGCTTTATAAGAGCAGAAGTAAATAATAGTAGTGAAAATAAAAAAGCTGCAAGTATTTGTTCTCAGACTAAATATAAGTTACTAAAGTCTAAGTTAGCCTAAATATGAGTATGAAAGACTCTAGCAGGTTTATCTTAAAGTCAAAAAACTCTCTAAAATGGTTGAGACCACTTTAAAGCTCTAAGTCAGCATGTAAAAATAAGGTAGTACTAAGTATTATTGCTTAAATATAAAAGAGTTAGTATATAGATACAGAGGGTTTAAATAGGTATCTCCTTAATGGGATGCAGATACAGCATTTAGTGTAGAACCTAGTAATAGACAGATATTTAAATAGGTGCTTAAAAGATGCAGATATAGCTAGTTGTACTTTACAAATATGTACAGCTGTCAGAATATTCTGACAATTAAAAATACTACTAATATTTGAATAAAGAGCAGTATAGCAAAGAGGTCACATTAATATTAAAAAAATATATATACAGTCGGACCTCCCTAAATGCAACCTCCATAAGTGCAATACCTCCCTAAATGCACATTTTTGTCTTGGCTGTATAAAATCATTAGTGCTAAATGCACATTCTATATTCTGCAAATGCACGTTCACTCAAAAGATTTTTTATATCATACTAACCTCCCTAAGTGCACGTAGCCAATCAGAAGTCAGTATTTAAGTTTGTTATACAAACCTGCAGATCAAATATTAAAAACTGCAATTTGATTAGCTCACTCTAAATGCAAACCTCTCTAAATGCATGTTTTAAGCTGGTCTGTATACGTTGCATCTATGGAGGTTTGACTGTATAAAAATAAGTAAATTTAAAATATGAAACTACTAAAACAATAAAATTTAATTTGTTAAGTAAATAAGAAAGAAGAAATATCAAAAACAATGATTTAGTAAAAGTAATTTAAATAAAAATATTGACTTATACAATTTGTATAAAATTTTTTTAAAAAAAAGTTTAAACAACAATTTAACTAACTATATTTATATGTAATTTTTTTATTTAAGATATAAAAAGATTTATATATATAAATTTAAATTAGAATAACTGATAGTGATTATTACTATAATTAGCTAATATCAATAAACCAAAAAAAAATTTATTTTGTTTACTCTAGGGTTAGAATGAGGCCTAATATTTTAGTAAGATATTAAATATATGCAAAATTTAGCAAGAAATTTTTTTTGTTAGAATATTAAAAGTAGTTTCTTAGATGAATTCTTAAGTAATTGACATTTTTTAAAAAATCTTTATTGTTATTATACAAATTGATTTGTATATTATATCTAATTTTGCAAATCTATTAGCTAATTATATACTAATGATGATTACTACCAGTTATAATTACTAAAATTATATATATATTGTATTAAAATTATATAATTATTAATAGAATAATGTTATCTTTAATATTATAGAGATTATATAAAAGAAGATGCTTAGATTTTATATTAAATAAAGCTGAATATAAAAAGATTATTGTATAAGTTTTTAGAAGTATAGTTAAACCTCTTTAAATGCAACCTCTATAAATACAATACTTTCTTAAATGTATGTTTTGTTTTAGCTGTATGAAATTATTAGTGCTAAATACACATTCTATATTCTGTAAATGCAAGTTCATTCAAAAGAATTTTTTATTATATTAACCTCTCTAAATGCATATAGCCAATCAGAATTTAATATTCAATTATATTATACAAACCTGCAGATTAAATATTAAAAACTACAATTTGATTAGCTCTCTCTAAATGCAAATCTCTCTAAATGCACAGTTTCATCTAGTTTATACACGTTGCATTTAAGAAGGTTAGACTGTAATAGAAGTTATATATAAGTTGATTAATTAGATTAACAAGTAAATAAATTAATAAATATACTGTATATTTGTTTACTCAAAACAAGTTTAAGGCACTTATTTTTTTTTTGATATTAAGGTAAAACCTTGCTTATATCTTTATTAATAGTTTTTAATATAGTAATTACAAAAAGTTTTTTTTTGAAAATTAATAGTGAAACTATATCTTTCTCTTTATTGAAATTCAATTTAACTCTTTTACAAAGAAAAGAATATACAAATCATTTACAAAAAAAATAATTTAAACTTCATATCTTAAGATAAAAAGAAAAG